CTACTTTCGAAAGTCTTCTTAAGCTGTTCTGCAATTGGTAATGGATGTCAGTCAGTCGTTGGAGATGTAATGCAACAGTCTCAAAGCTCCCCTCTCAAGCAAACCTTCATGGCTTTCGTTTTGTCCCAATTCTTGAGGCATTGGGACTTTCACCATAAGCCCTTAGTCCTCTGAAAAGCAGGTTGTAATCCTTCATTGGATCCTCCTCGATGAGTCAGTTACAGTTGGTGACGGGCTCCTCCAATCCTCCTCCAATTCATCACTTTTGCTCAAAAGGGACGGGGATCTGAACTGCTGCTGAAGTACCACTAAAAGGTCGAGGAGGCACCACTTTCGGTTGGCAAGATTGTGTTCATACTTCGAATGAGTCGCTCGGGGCTGCTCCAATGTCCACCGTCGGTTCTTTCTACATAAAAATGGAGTTGCCACGAAAATGCTGAGGATAAGAGCCTAACAAGGCAGTTCTCATTCTCACTGAGTCCTGATCCAACCCTCCCAATCCTAAGGTCGAACTTTCTTTGCGGAAGTGTTCCTCTAAATCCTGATAAAAGACGCTAGTTTGAGTCATCAGCTGCTGATGTTGGAGAAAGTTGATAAAGTGGTGGATTTCTGATGCAGAAGACGGAGTCGAAGGATAGCCAGACAAGGTGATAGGATCTCATGCGAATCGGCAAGATGGACAACAGATGGGTGTACGACAAATTCAACGCCTCGAACGTTCCGTGATGGAAATTTCTCAGCACGAATGATGGGTATGCATTCACTCAGCTGCCTCACGTCTGTCTTCCTGGACTTTGTTTCCTGCAAGGTGATTACGTAGCAGTTGATGCGCTCTGCAGTTTCGAGAAGGGCGTGAAGATCGGCTTTGGTGGAGACTGTCCTGGTGTTGCAGGTGCAGAGCATGAGACAATCTCCATGACGAGTTGTGCCGTATCTCTTTGATCAGAAATCCATGGCCGCCCTCTGCAACCTGATACTGGTCTTGATGACATCCGACGGTGGAGATGTGATCCAGTTTGCAAGGCTTGATGTAATCATTAGCACATCCATATCTTATTGCTTATGCGAATTCTCCTCTAGATTAATATAATGAATGTATATAATTTTAGAGTTTCCAATAAAAACATATAAGCAGTCTTCGATTTTTTGCTTTGAGAAAGTTTACAATATAACACTTGTCGTCGTTCATCACTGATACATAAGATGAGTTAACTTCACCAATAGAACCTCCCGCTTGTTACCCGAATTCCAGTGCAACACGGGCAAATATGCAAGGTGTTACTGTATCTTATTGGACCTATAGCTTGCAAAAAAGCTTGCTTAGCATTTGCTAAGCTTATAGCGAGAAGGCTACGATAAGCTCCCTCGGCCCGTCCCCCCATTTTCCGCCTTTTTCTTCCCTGTGTAACATACACTCGTTCATGTCATTGCAATGATTGGTAATACACACTGTGACCTCATCGTCAATGAGTTCGGTGATAGTTCCGCCATTATTAAAATTTAATGGAAATCTGCAGGATTAGAAGATTATTCATCTATCTGAATGAATATTGCGCAATATACGTTTTGCCGTCTTTCCCTTGAAAACTAAAATTTGTCAATTCAATCATGATTTAGTGGTTTTATCAGAATCAAAATTTCTATCTTGACGGCAACAAGCATTGTAGTTATCGTCAAATGTTTATCCTAAATTCTAACTGTGGTCAACGACTGACATTGAACGATAGTTAACCTAGGCTAACTACTTTTATCAGTCTCAGTCCCAGTAAAGTAAAAGTAATATTGAATTACTTGATTACCACTTTCCTTTTCCGTACTTATTTTGTTGGCGTCGTCTTTGAATTCCGAATGCTTCCGTCGATGTACTAGAGCTGACGAGCATCACGTAATTCAGTAATCCAGGTACAGATAAAGTAGCGTAGAGTCAACGCCAATATGAAATGAAAAGTGCGTAATTCCCGGCCACGTATCTGAAAGTGAAATAAGATG